TTCCTCATGCTTCCACTCCTGGATTACTTCCCCTCACCAGCCTCCACTCCAGGATTCACCGCCAGGGCTCACCAGCTCCTCCATTCCCCTCTGGGTAAGTGCAAGCCATTGAAAACAAAACAACGCAGAAAGGAAGAAAACAAAAGAGAAAAAAAGAAAAAACAAGTGGAGCAGAGAAGCTCTGGCTGGAGAATCCCACTCTGCTGCTGTCTTGCCTAGAATACTAAGAAGTAACGGATCAGGCATACGGGGAGAAAGAAAAGTGGTTAGAACAGTGAAGCAAGAATTTTTAAATCCCTATGGCATGGAAGTGGACCATTTGGCCCATCGAGTTCCACCAACTCTCTGAACAGCATCCCATCAAAATCCACCTTCCCACCATATCCCTGTATTTCCCATAGCTAATCCTCCTAGCCTGCACATCCCTCCACACCAGGGGCAATTCAGCATGACCAAGCCACCTAATTTGCATATTTTTGGACTTGTGGACAGAAACTAGAGTGGAGAATGTGCAAATTCCACACAGGCAATCAACTGTGGTGGAATTAAACTCAGGTCCCATGCACTGTGAGGTACCAGTGCTAATCACTGAGCCACCGTGCCACCTTAAGAAAACGGCATGTAGCTAAGCAATTTCAGTTTATGGAGACACAATTACTTTGCAAGAGTAATAAAAGACAGCTTGCCCATCAAATCATGGGGGCCCCTGTGATTACCCGCTGTCCCTTATCAAATGAGGAACTGGAAAGGGTATTCAGTGCTAAATTATCAAACCCGAATAATAAAGCTGATGTCAATAAATTCAAATTATATACTGGCCGGAGGCACATGGATCTGATGCGACCAGTAAAGGAAGGGGAAGTTAATATGGCTACGGAGGTGATCAATTTGAAGAGTGCTCCTGGTCCTGATGGCATGAAGCTTAAAGATACCCAAGCTATATATGAAAGGGATGCAACATGTCTCCCCAGACTCTTCTCTCTTTGGCTTAAATCAGGTTATGATACCAGATTCCCTCAAAAAGAGTAGGATAGTTTTAATCCCCAAAACTGAGGACAAGGACTGCCTCAAAGATATCAACAACTGCAGGCCAATTATATTTGAACCTATTTTACTCCGTCTTTTTACTAAAATCATGACTAAGAAACTGAGCGAGGCGGTGAATTTAAATTTTAGGCAGAAGGGGTTCCTGGCAGCTACCTCCGACTGTAATGAAAATATAATCATTTTGGAGAATATTATTGAGTGAGCTAAAATGAACAGGAAGGATCTCTCAGCAGTTTTTATTGATTTGGCAAATGTCCTATTCAGTGGGGAACAAATGATTATTTATAGCACTTCGAAGTGTTGCTATCCCAAGTCTTTTATACAATTAATTACAGATTTATGTACTAATAATACAATAGAAGGAAACCATTGTAAAACTAATCCAATCAGCGTCGAGAAAGGAGTTAAGCAAGGTGATTCCTTGTCTCTAATCTTGTTCAACATAGCATTAGATCCTCTGGTATGCAATTACGAGGATGCAAATTCTGGTGTTTTTATGCCTTTTAATGGAGATAAGATTAACTGTTCTGCTCTGGCTTTTGCTGATGACATCATATTTGTGAGTGACTCATACTTAGGGATGGCTAGAAACCTTAAGATTGTCCAGAGATTCTGAAATTCTACAGGGCTGGCAATTAACATCAAAAAGACCAAGGGATTTAATTGTTCTTATAAAGGGAAGATCTTTTTACATAATCATGAGAAGAACTGAGTACACCGTAGAAACAATATTGAATACATCTCCCCAGGAGATACAGAAAAATATCCGGGAGCCCAAGTCGACCCGTGGGCAGGTGTTGAGGAAGCTGAATGAGAAGACAAATTAAAGACCCGGGAGTCGAATCTTGATTCAACTACCCTTCGCCTGATGCAAAAGATTGAAATTTTTAAAACCTATATTATCCTGAGATTGTATTACCATCTGATTTTAGTGGAAACTTCGCAAAACAATCTTCAAAGCCAGACCAAATCATTCGTAGTTTTGCTAAAGAGACCCGACATCTTCCCTACGATATGAGTGATGGTGACATCTATGTGAAAAATGGGGATTGAGGTTTGAGAATGACAAAATTAGAGACACAAATTCCGGTAGCAATTATTAGAAAATGTGTGACTCTCGAATCATTGACGGATAGGGTGATTTAGGCTTCCTTTCAATTCTGTAAAGACAGCAACTTTGGTGTGATAGAGACATTGTCTCAATTGAAGATCTTGAAAGAGGTAGTGACCTTTTTAGAGAAGCAGATCCATCGTAATCCTATTGCAGAAGTTGAGGAACCTTGAATCTCCTAAATCCAGAGTGAAGTGAAACATCAGGAACGTTGAGTGCCAATCATGAGGCATGGAAGGAATGGGAGTTAGCCAAATTGATAGAGCTCAACCGTCAGGGTCCCAGCGTGAGAAATTATAAAGACGATAAGATTTCCAATTTATGGATTAAACTGTTTTTTTAACATTAAATCATCTAAATTAATAAATAGTTCACTACTGAGATGTAACCTGTATCCAACAGGAACCACGTTGACCCGAGGCGGACCTTTTTTGAAGAAGGAATGCCAGTGGTGCGCACCACCAGAAACTGTGTCACACATCTCAGGTAATTGTCCATATGTTAAGAATGCAAGAATTAAAGAACACAATGAAACAGTGGAAAAGCAACAGGACTATATTGGGAAATATGGATGGAATACTTAAGTTGCACCATGCTTGAAGGAGAAGGAAGGAGCTCTTTGGAAGCCAACCTGACATTTAAGACAGATCTAAAAATTGTTGTTTGATGTCACAATTCAATTCAAAAATGAGGACAAATCATTGGAAAAAGTCTGGGCTAAAAAAAGTGCAGAAATATAAACATCTTTATCAGGAAATAATTGAACTGATGGATGGCTCAGGTCTTGCACAGTTTGGTTTTGTAATGGGTGCCAGAGGAAAATCGTTAGAGCTGAATAATAGCCTCATGAGACATCTGGGCATCCAAAGAATTAAATCATTTGCCCAGGATATGTTGAGATTGACTATATTCTAATTCTGGAACTTTTGCAAGATTTTTAGTGATGGCTAAATGACCTTATTTGCCCAGCTAATATTCAGATATTGCTCTTGTTCATAGAAATTAATGTCATTAGTTTTAATGTGTTGTGATTTTCTTTCATACTAATTTTAGACACTTAAGTTTAATTTTAATGAATAGTTTTTTTATATCTTCTTTTGATATCTTAGTAATGTTAGTCAATAGTGTTTTAGTTAACTATGTAATGGCAGCAGGTAATAAACGGTTATGAGTTAATGCTGGGTTTTAACAAGTAACACGTCAAATGATGTTAATATTCTCCGACAGGTAATTAAACCTGGACGGTGCTGTCCGAACTTGTGTTCTATTTATTTTTTTAATACCACATTTGCCGAATTGGTTTTGGCCCCGAATTTTTCCTTGACCATATTCTTTTATGTATATAGCTGTGGTAGGGGCATATAGAGATTCAAACATTGATGAGCGATGAGAAGACTGGGAAGAGGCACTCCCATGTTTGCGTGCTTTGAAATAGCAGGACAGACAGATAACGTGGTTAAGAAGGCACAGGGAACTTGCCTTTATTAGCTGAGGCACGGACCACAAGAGCAAGGAGGTTATGTTGGAACTATATAAAATGCTAGTTAGACCACAACTGGAGTACTGTGTAAGCTCTGGGCACCTTATTATAGGCAGGACATGAGGAGATATTCCAAGATGTTACCTGGGCTGGAGTATCTGAGCAATGAGGACAGATGGATAGGCTAGGTCTTTTTTCTCTTGAAGGTTGTGAGGGGATCTGATAATGGTGTATAAAGATATAAGGATAAAATAGATATAGATGTAGATAAAATGAATAGGAAGGCAATCTTTGCACGAGTAGGAGAATCAATAACCACGGGACAAAGATTTAAGGTATGAGGACTGAGGATAGAGCTGAGGAGAAAGTTTTTAACTCAGAGGGTGATGAGAGTTTGGAACTCACTGCCTGAAATGATGGTTGAGTCAGAAGCAAGTGTAACATTTAAGTAGCATTTAGATATTCACTTGCATTGCTGTAGGCTCCAGTGCTCTGGGCCAAGAGCTGGAAAATGAGATTAGTGTCGACAGATCTTTGTTGACCAGCACAGATGTGATGGGCTGAACAGTCCCATTCTGTGCTCTAAGCATCTATGTAAAAGGTACTTTTACAGATATTGAAATTAATTTGGTAACAACTTGTTCCTCTTCCAAACTTTCTGCGTTGATTAATTGGAGCCAATTTTAGGAAAATGCTTGCATCCTTAAGGTGCAACTTATGTTTGGTCTCAGGATGTTCAAAAACACTTTGTGGTCAATTGAGTACTTGGAACGATAATAATCTGTAATATAGAGAACCAGGCAATTTACTTCTACAAAGTAAACTTCCACAAACAACAATGAAACAAATGTCCAAATGTAAATTCAGTGATCAGTTGAGTGCTAAATATTGACCAGGACAAAATGTTCTGTGTCAGAACTGTTTTTGTTCCTGATTTACAGCATCCGCAGTTCTTTCGGTTTTTAAAATGTTCTGTGTGATCTTTTGCATCCACATATAAAGCACAGAGGGCTTCAATTTGACGGCTTTCCAAAAAATGACACCCCACCTGCAACACTCCCTTAATATGATGCCATTCTAGTACATGCTGTATATTCAGGTTGAGCTGACCGCCTTCTAATGTAAGGGCAAGCCTCAGGTTTGCACTAGAAAAGGATGTATAGAACATAAAATTGGAACTGGCCGACGTGTTTGTTCTGTGAGCTGTTCAAGTTTTATTTATGGCTATTCGGACAGATATTTCATCTGTTAATACTTTGGCTGGTATTTAAATAGCGACTACAGTACTTATCAAAATTAAACCCTCACCAAGTCTTGAACTCATTCTAGCATTGATCATGTCCCATTTCTAGCTTCACCTCCAGTTGTGGGCACGTCACTTCCTTCGTGGGAAGGTTTCGTGAAAGGATGTGTATTTGTTGGCGGTCTGCGACTTTTACTGAGACTCATTAAGGGTCGAGCAGGAATAAGTGTTGTTCAGCGAGCCCAGCAAGTTCCGCTGCTGTGGTTTTGAACCCAGCGTAGCGCACAATCTTTTGTTCCAAACTGCATTGCAGTGTGGAGCTCACGTGTTAGGCCTCAGGACGAATCTACGATTGTAACCCCAGCAGAGAGACACAGCTGGACCATCCTGCATGTAATATGCCGGGGAAAGTTGCAACAGAGGAAACGGCGAGGCTTTTCTTGGAAGATGGCTCTTCTTTCAAAGGCAGGCTGTTTGGTGCGAGTACCAGCGTCTTTGGAGAAGTCGGTGAGGTTTACGGCGAGTCCCGGGCTGTTTTATCTCGACAAGATGCCGTTTTGTTTAGGTTGAACTTTGTATATGTAATTCAGTTCTTCTGCGGAACATTTCAGATGTTGCTAACGTGAACACGTTAATATGTGTAAAAACGATCCCCACCAAAACAGAGCAAGTGACGCATTATCATTTTTTCCCTCAGATGATTGCTCTCAATTTAGTTTTAGAAAGTTCCTATAAATATTTATATGGTGATTTATTCTGTTGATCTAATTGATTTATGCTGTTATTTTGAATGCAGTGTTTTAAGGACGTCCACGTGTTTCGCTTCCCTATGGCCATGGAGCACCAACCTGAAACGTTCAGATTAGACGGTTAACGTTGTCCCCTACAACTGTCGAGTAGTTGAGGTTTTTGCGAACTGTTTTTTGCAAACAACCCGTAAACATTACACAAATTCCTTTTTCTTCGCATTTGGTACAAACCTGACTTTTCCAGTGAACCTGCACATTGAAACTTCCCACGGTTATTGTAATAGAACAGGAATGTAAGAAATTATGAACAAAAACAAAGTTGCTGGAAAAGCTCAGCAGGTCTGGCAGCATCTGTGAAGGAGAAAAGAGTTAACATTTCGGGTCCAGTGACCTGGTTTTTATGTAAGAAATTATCTCTTTTATTTTTTGCCCCACATCCTGACTACTGCTAGGAATCCTGTACATAACTCCCGTCAGAGTCTTTTTTCCCCTTTGCCGTTCCTCAACTGTACCCACACATTCCACGTCTTGTGATCCTATGTTGCTTCTTGCGATTGACTTAACATCATTTCTTACTAGCAAGGCACCCTCTCTGCCCATCTACCTGCCGTATCGACAGGACGCATACCCTTGGAAATTTAGTTCCCAACCTGATCTCTTTGCAGTCACATCTCTATGATGGCCACAATATTTTATCTGCCAATTTCAGTCTGTGGTATAAGCTCATTTACCTCGTTTTGTACGTTGACTTTATAAATGAATGCAAAGGTTACAGAGAAAGGGCAGGAAAGTGGATGTGAGGAATGTCAGATCAGCCATTGATCCTATGAATTGAGGAGCAGGCTGGAGGGGTCAAAAACCCACTCCTGTACCTACTTCTTATGGTCTTGTAATGGAGTCATGAACTATTTTCTCCAATGTCTGCCATTGTTCACCAACATTTTTCCCTCACCCCTTTGGCCAATGCACTCCAGTAGAGACCATCCTCATTACTTTGTAATTACCCTTATTTGTATTTAGCATAGTCATTTCCAATCCAGGTGTCTCACTCCGTGCTAAAACTTTGCCAAATTCTACCACGCAATAGCTACTGTTTGTGAAGGGATCTTTGACTCTACCTCATTACGTATAATCAAAAACAAGTCAGCCTGATTCCTGTATCAGAGATAGTAGGAACTGCAGATGCTGGAGAATCTGAGATAACACGGTGTAGAGCTGGATGAACACAGCAGGCCAAGCAGCATCATAGGAGCAGGAAGGCTGACGTTTCGGGCCTAGACCCTTCTTCTGAATTGAAATTCAATTGAAATTGAAATTCATTCCACCAAGACCAATCTTTGAGCCACACATTTAACTCCTTAACATTATTAACCTAATTTCAGTTTGCCTGTGGCTCAAGAAGTAATTTCAGGATTACCACCTTGCCGGTTCTACCTTTCAATTTAGCTGCTAATTGTTTAAAATCTTTCAACAAACTTCTTTTTTAGGCTTATCAGTGTCATTGGTACCAACATGGACAAGAGCAACTGGAGCCCTTTCTTCCCACTCTAATTTCCTTTCCTGTCTTGAGGAGATGTCCTTAACCTTGAAACAGTAGAGGCAACAGAGCCTTCAGCACTCTCACCCACAGCTGCTGAAAACATTATCTATGTCCTAATTACAGTGCCCTCACCATTACCGTATTCTAATTTCCTTACCGCATTTGAATCTCTCCCTGTACTACTGGTGCCTTGTTTACTTCACTCATCCTCTTTGTAGTTTCACTCTTATGGTTGATAGCAGATCTCAGGAAAAAGATTTTCTGGAATGCTTATGACTTTTTGGAGCAGCTTGTGGAAGACCCCACGAGGGAACAGGCAATTCTGGATTTGGTGATTTGTCACGAGGCAGACTTGATTTTGAAGCTTAAAGTGAAGCAACCCTGAGAGGACAGTGACCATAACATGACAGAATTCACCCTGCAGTTTGAGAAGGAGAAGATTGAATCAGGTGTAACTGTATTACAATTGAGTAAAGGTAACTTTAAAGACATGAGGAAGCAGCTGACCAGAGATGATTGGAAAGGGACCCTGGTAGTGGAAGATGGTGGAGCAAGAATGATGGCATAAGTTTTGAGGGGTACTTTGGGAGGCAAAGCAGGAATTCATTCCAAGGAAGAAGAAACATACTAAGGAGAGGAAGAGGTAACCATGGCTGACAAGGGAAATCAAGGATAGCACAAAAGCATGCAAAGTGGTGAAGATTAATGTGAAGCCAGAGGATTGGGAAGCATTTAAAACCAGCAATGGATAACTGAAAAAAAAACAAGGGGATACAAGATGAAATACAAGGGTAAACTAGCTAGTATTACAAAAGGTGATTGTAAGAGAGAGGTGAGAGAGAAGCAAGAGTGTACATTGGACCACTAGCAAATAAGGCTGGAAAATTAGTAATGGGAAACAAAGAATTGGTAGAAGAACTGAATTGGTACTTTGCATCAGTTTTCACAGTGGAAGACACCAACAACATATCAGAACTTTTCAAGAGAGTCAGGGGCCAGAGGTGATTTTAGTGGCCATCACTAAGAAGAAAGTGCTGGGGAAGCTGAAAAGTCTGAACGTGGACAGATGGACTGCACCCCAGGGTTCTGAAGGATGTAGCTGAGGAGATTGTAGAGGCAGTGGTGGTGATCTTTCAGGAATTGCTGGAGTCAAGGAATTATGCAGCATGGAAATAGACCCTTTGGTCCAACTTGACCCCATGGTAGGCTGATGGAGAAAGTGAAGTCGCATGGGGTCCAGGATGTACTAGCTAGATGGATAGAGAACTGGCTGGGCAACAGGAGACAGAGTTGTAGTAGGAGGGAGTTTCTCAAAAATGGAGAACTGTGACCAATGGTGTTCGACAGGGGTCTGTGTTGGGACCACTGTTGTTTGTGATATACTTAAATGATCTGGAGGAAGGTATAGATGGTCTGATTAGCAAGTTTGCAGATGACACTAAGATTGGTGGAGTAGCAGATAGTGAAGGGGACTGTCGGAGAATGCAGCAGAATATAGATAGATTTGGAGAGTTGGGCGGAGAAATGGCAGATGGAGTTCAATCCAGGCAAATGCAAGGTGATGCATTTTTGGAAGATCCAATTCAAGAGCGAACTATATGGTAAATGGAAAAGCCCTGGGGAAAATTGATGCACAGAGAGATCTGGGTGTTCAGCTCCATTGTACCCTGAAGGTGGCAACGCAGGTCGATAGAGCGGTCAAGAAGGCATATACGGCATGCTTTCATTCATCGGACAGGGTATTGAGTAGAAAAGTTGGCAGGTCATGTTACAGTTGTATAGGACTTTGGTTCGACCACGTTTGAAATACTGCGTACAGTTCTGGTTGCCATGTTACCAAAAGGATGTGGATGCTTTGGAGAGGGTGCAGAGAAAGTTCACCAGGATGTTGCCTGGTTTGGAGGGTGCTAGCTATGAAGAGAGGTTGAGTAGATTAGGATTATTTACATTAGAAAGACGGAGGTTGGGGGGGAGCCGGATTGAGGCCTACAAAATCATGAGAGGTGTAGACAGGGTGGATAGCAAGAAGCTTTTTCCCAGAGTAGGGGACTCCATTACTAGGGGTCATGATTTCAAGGTGAGAGGGGAAAAGTTTAAAGGAGATATGCGTGGAAAGTTCTTTACGCAGAGGGTGGTGGGTGCCTGGAACGCGTTGCCAGCGGAGGTGGTAGAAGCAGGCACGATAGCGTCATTTAAGATGTATCTAGACAGATACATGAATGGGCAGGGAGCAGAGGGATACAGATCCTTGGAAAATAGGCGACAGGTTTAGATAGAGGATCTGGATTGGCGCAGGCTTGGAGGGCCGAAGGGCCTGTTCCTGTGCTGTAATTTTCTTTGTTCTTTGTTCTTGTTCTTGTTCTTGACTGCACAGACCAGATGTCGTAATCTGACCTGGTCCATTTGCTAGCATTTGGTGCATATTCCTCTCAACTCTTCCTATTCATGTACCCATCCAGATGCCTTTTAAATTTTGTAATGGTACTCTCCACCACCACCTCTTTTGGCAGCCTTGTTCCATATACAGATCACCCTTTGTGTGAACAGGTTGCCCTTTGGATCCCTTTTAAATTTTTGACCTCTCATTGTAAACCTATGCCTTCTAGTTTTGGATTTCCCTACCCTGGGAACAAGAACTTGGCTACTCACCCTATCCATGCCCCTCATGATTTTGTAAACCTCCATTCAACCTTTCCCTTTAGCTCAAACCCTCCAATCTTGACAACATCTTGTAAATCTTTTCTGAACTTGGTCAAGTTTAATGACATCTTTCCTGTAGCCGGGAGACCAGAAATGTACGCAGTATTCCAAAAGTGGCCTTGCCAATTTCCAGTACAACCGCAACATGATATCCTAACTCCTAAACTTAATGTTATGACCAGTGAATGCAAGAATGCCAAACACCACCTTCACCACTCTGTTTAATTGCGACCCCCACTTTCAAAGAACTATGCACCTGTGCCCCCAGGTCTTTGTTCAGCAACTTTCCCCAGGTCCCTACAATTAACTGCATAAGTCCTGCCCTGGTTTGCTTTACCAAAGTGCAATACCTCACATTTATCTAAAGTTAAACTCCATCTGCCACTCCTCAGCCCGTTAGCCCATTTGATCGAGATCCTGTTATACTCTGAGGTAAACCTTCTTGGCTGTCCACTGCATCACCAATTTTGGAGTCATCTACAAATTTACCATATCTCCTGTATTCATGTCCAAATCAT